TCCGCTTCTTTCCCGGAGTTGTCCATGGCGGCCGCAAAGGTGCTCAGCAAACAGCCCCACCCGGGCCCACGGGGGTCTCAGCCGAGGCCCGGCCTCGGCGGACAGGTCGGGGGAGCTTAGCGGGCTGCGTTGACGTCGCACCGGTGCGGACCGCCCCCTGCCCCGCCCCACGTGATGTGCGCCGGCCAACCAGCGGCCGGGCAGGGGGCGCGCGCCTTCCTGGCCACGCCCCCGCTAGCCGCCGCACGCCGCCCGGTGACTCACGGCCGCCAATCGGCGACGCGATGCCTCAGCGCTTGCGCATACTTCCGCGTAGGCCACCCCAGTCTTCCTGGTGCGCTCCACGACGTCCCACGTGACTCGCATAAGCCAATCGTAGTTCCCACCGCCAAAGACTCGCCTCGAGGTGCTAGTGTCTGGCTCCGGCTCCACCAGTCAGCAGCATCCTCCGGCTCGGAGGGTAACATCCCTGCGGGACTTGCGCCCCAGTCAGCTGACCACCGACCCTCACGTGACAGCTCCCGGCCCTGGCCGGAAGATAGGCCCCGCCCCGTCCGGGTTTGACAGGTGTCCTGCGCCAAGCTGTGCCCGCCTCCACTCGTTATCTCGCGCGGTCCCTCGCCGGGAGAGGCGTCAGTGGTGGGGGAAGCGCGGCCTTTTCCTGCGCCCTCTGCTGACGGACACTGGAACCGCTCTGGGCGGGCCAGTACTGTACTCAGACACGGGAAACACCACCGAGCGATTAAAAAGGCTGGAGAGCGCGTGTCAAAAATTCAGACACGCAGAGCCCAGATCTTTGTTTTTAATACCATTCTCCAATAAAAGGAACCAGGGCTCCTTGATTAAACGCCTGGTTTGAGGCTTGGGCAGGAAATTACACAGGATGAGCCTGGAGCATCTTGTAGTGCCAAAAAGGAAGTGCGTGTGTGAGAGACACACACAAATGGTAGGGCCCGTCAGAAAGACGCAGGAGCCAAGGGAAAGAGCTCCCCATGGCCACAGCTGGAACCATTTGAGCAACGCCATGAACTAGTCCTGGAGCATAACCAAATGTAAAAAATATCCCTGAGGCCATGCTGGTATAAATGAACAAATAGGGGGAATCAACAAGTATTTCACGCAGAAGTATTCTGAATAATGCACGTGGGCTCCTCACTCCTCAGTGTGGACCACACAGGGGCTCCTTCAGCATGCCTATGGGAAGCAGATGGGAGAACTGTTTCCAGGGGCGAAACCTGACAAATAGCCAGGTGACTGAGGTTAATATCAACAGTGGGGAATCATGATTACAGGATGTACTCTCAATAATGTGATGTGAAGGGCACTTCTCCTCTGTGGAGGATGGCTCCCGACACCACCCTCTACCCATCTAATCACAAAAAGACATCAGAAAAACCCGACTTGAAGCCCGTTCTCCAAAAACACTTAACCAGGACTTCTCAACACTGTCAAATTCATTAGAAACATGTCAAGTCCAAGAAACAGTCACAGCCAAGAGGAATCTAGGGAGATATGTCCCCTAAATGTAATGTGGTGTCCTGGGTGGGATCCTGAAACAGAAGATGAATGTTAGGTAAAAACTAAGGAAATGTGGGGATCCCTGTGTGGCTCAGCGGTTTAGTGCCTGCCTTTGGCCCAGGGCGTGATCCTGGAGTCCCGGGATGGAGTCCCGTGTCGGGCTCCCGGCATGGAGCCTGCTTCTCCGTCTGCCTGGGTCTCTGCCTCTCTCTCTCTCTGTGTCTATCATGAATAGATACATCTTAAAAACAAAAAACAAAAACACAAAAACAAAACAAACAAGGAAATGTGAATAAAGTATGGACTGTAATTAATAGTATATCAATATTGGTTCAGTAATTGTGACAGATGTACCACACTCAGAATCTAAGATATTAATACGGGTAGTGGCACCTGGTTGGCTCAGTTAAGTGTCTAACTCTTGGTTTGGCTCAGGTCATGATCAGGGTCCTGGAACTGAGCCTATCAGGCTCCCAGCTCAGTGCAAAGTCGGCTTGAAGATTTCTCTCTGTCCCTCCTCCTGCTCAAGTTCTCTCTTATAAATAAATAAATTAATTAATACATACATACATACAGCTTTTTAAAAAACAATGAGAGAATATATGGGGGTATATGGAAATTCTTGGTACCACTTTCACAATTTTTCTAAAAATCTAAAAACTACTAAGAAAGTTTCTTTTAAAAAATTCAAGTTCTAGGCCCCTACTGCCAATGATTCCAATTATGAAAGTCTGTGGCAGGCTACAGGAATATGCATTTTCTTACAGGACTCCCAGGAAATTTGGATGCAAATAATCCAGGACTGGGTAAGAAAATACTGTTATCTGGGGGTAAGGACAGGATTTAGCTGAAGGGGAAGGGGGAGTAATTCACAAGAAACCTTTGCTCTCAGGACACCCGGGTGGCTCAGTGGTTGAGCATCTGCCTTTGGCTCAGGTCATGATCCTAGGGTCCTAGAATCAAGTCCCACATCTGGCTCCCCTCAGGGAGCCTGCTTCTCCCTCTGTATCTCTGCCTCTCTCCGTGTGTCTCTCATGAATAAATAAAATCTTAAAAAAAAAAGGAAACCTTTGCTCTCTTCTGATGTTTGGAGACTCCCTTGGACTACCCTCCTGCAGTGGCCACTGTATTCTGACCACAGATCAGATTGGGTTGGCAGGAGGAGGGAGTCTGGATTACCACAAAGAGTTTCAGTTCCCTGTCCGTGTGAGTGGCACTATCATAAAAGCTCTTATTTGTCTAAAGCTGTTAAATTTCAGGCCCATTTGTTATGCAGCACTAGAGAACTAATACTATACCACCCACCGGTCAAGTCAGGGCCTTTCCTTTCCAGATGCTGAGCCTGTTCTTCAGGCAGGGCCCAAACAGTAAGAGCAACACAATGCATTAAACAGGAGCTGCTCCTTCCTGCGGTGCACTCTGCCAAATGCTTCATTTATGGTTTCTCACTGAACCGGATACCAAGGGGAAGGCACTTTCCATCTCATTTTATAGAATGGGAACACAGGGACTGAAACAGGGAAAGTGACTTGCCCAAGGTCACAAAGGAGCCAGCTGTAAATTCTGGCTCTTAGGATACCTGAGCCCGGAGTCCTTCCTCTTAACCACAAGGGTCTTAAGTGTTTCAAATTCATCTTGCTCCTTTGCTCCCCCTCCTGCCCAGGCTTTAGGATTCACTTAGCTGAAACAAAGCCCCTCTGGGATGGCTCCTGACACTACCCTCTGCCCTGCTCCCCACCAGTCCCTCAGAACGGAGCACCCTCTATCACAGACACAATCGTGCCTCAAAGCCATCGGTCCTCTGATGTGGCCCTGCTCTTCCCCATCTTGGCATCTACTAGAGTGCCAAGCCCCAAAGCTGACATGCCGGCCTTGTCCTGTCCTTTTCCTTAAGCACCTCTCCCTGTGAGGGTACCCATCAGCAAGTCTGAGGCTACCACTAAGGTGGCTCCCCTAATCCTAGAGTCTCTCTGTCCCTCTGCAGCTCAGGCCACCATGCCTACTGTGCTCACTTGCCATTTGCCTCCTCCAACCTCCACAGAACAGCTAGAGGCTCTTAGAACACCCTCCACTAGCTTCTGTGGCAAAGTGCTTTGCCATGCCATGGCTTGGAATCCCAACTTTGGCTCCGGCAGCCTCTGGCCTGCCCTGGCTGGCCACTGAACACCACCTGCCATGCCCGGGACACTCCCTAGGACTCAGCTCCTGGCTTTATTTTCTTTATGTCACTTTGTGGTGGACACAAGGTCTACCTGCCCAGTAGCCCTTTCTGTGTCTTCTTTTCCCGGCAAACAGAATTCCAGTTTTGACTTGGTGACTACAAACTTAGGGGGTCACACTGCTTTCCCATAGTTCCTGGAGACAAACCCTAAGTGTCTGGGAGAACCACAGCCAATTTTCCTTCCAACTTCCAGGGATCAGCTGAGAAAGAGCATGGGCTACAGTTGTGCCAGTGAGACGTGAGGAGCATTCTGCTAGGGGCTGCTACATGTGTGCCTGGCTCTTCAAAGGGGACATGGAGGAACACGCTCTCTTCCCTGCAACTCTTCTGAAGGTCTGGACGTTGGTATAGCAGGGGCTGATGCTTGCCACTGCTGCAGCCAACATGCTGACCTTATGCAGGCCCCTGGAATCACCACAACTCCTGACGGCTGAATCCTACGCTGCCTCTCCTGCTACTATGACTGCAAGCACACCCACAATCAAGATCTCAAATCACCTTTTCATTCATTCATCACTGCTACTCTCCCACTCCTAAAATGGAAGCTCCACAAGGAGAGGGACTTTGTTCCCTTGCATCACTGTAGCCCTGCTGCACCAGTTGGGCACTGTGTGGCTTATACTCTAGTAGGTGCTTAATAACTGCTGGCTGAATGAGTGTACAAAGCCTCCTGGGCTCCTCTGGGGAGGGGACTCAGCTTACTCATCTCTGTGGCTCCAGTAAGATTCAAAAGCCTTTGTTGGATCAAAAGGCTGGGGAAGCCAGAAGACAGCTGCTCGAGAACCCAATTTAATAAGATTTACAAGTCGACACGTACAAAAAAAACCTAACAATGTACAAGTCATTGCAAAACTAGGGACTGAATCTGGAATGCAGAGAGACTCCCCTGGAGAGGGGGGCCCAACATGTTGGAGATCTGAAGGTATCTTCCCACTGATTCTCTACGTCTTGGCCTTATCTAACAAATGTAACCAAACCCCAAAACTGAGGCTAAGATTTAAGAGCTACCCAGATCTACCTCATTACCTCCCCAAGCCTCCCTGCTCTAGATGGAGTGGGAGGAGTGACTAATTAACCTAAAGAGAATGGAGCCTCTGGCACCAGCCAACTGGGACTTCACGGTGGTCTGATGGTTGGGTGCTTCTCCTGCCTATTTATGGCCAAATGCCCACCACGTTTCCAAGCCAGGCTGGCCAGTGAGGGACAGTGGGGGTGGGGAGGAGGCAGAGGGGGGCCCTCAACCCCTTGGAGAGGCCGTCGGGGGGCTGGAGGCCCCCATCCAGACTTGCTGCCTGGCTCCAGCTCCCCACCCCACCCAATCACCACTGCAGGGGGCCGATGTCAGCCCCTATCTCCTCCTCCTCCTCCTCTTCCTCCTTCAGCTGGAAGGGCTTCACAGGCCACTTCACCCTGACGATGGGCTCCACATGGTCCTGAAGGCGGTGTCGCTTCATGTGGGCATTTCGACTCTTGATTTTGTCGAACACCCTGAGGAGTCACCAGAGAACACCGGTCAGAGCAGGGGGAAGGCACGCCACCCAAGGGCAGCCATGGGGGCCGAGGGAAGGTGGTGTGGGCGCATCCAGGGAAAGGGCTGGTACCTCTCACACTCTCTGCAGGGGAAGACACCCTGGCCCTCCACACTGCCTGGTGGCTCAGGGGTCCGCTTGGGACCAGCATTTGGGCTGGAGTTGAGAATGGACTCCCTCCTGTAACTCTTGGTCTTTATCTTGAACTCAGGAGTGGGACGGTGGCTGGGTCTCTCCCGAGGGCTGCAAGTGACCTGCAGAACAGCAGAAATGATGGTCTAAGGGCACCAAGCCTCCACCCTTCTAAGGGAGATGCTTTCCACTACAGGGAAGCCCTTCCTGGTGGGTGCCCTCCCCTTTCCCTGTCTGGGATGGGCAGCTGCATCCCCATCAGCACCCAACATTCCCCAGACCTCCTACCTTTGCTTCTGTCTTGTCTGCCTCATCTGGCTCTCTCTTGACCCTCTTTTCCAGTCCTGGGGCTCGGCCACAGTCAAACTTGATCATTTTTTTCCAGATGTAATAATACTCAACACACTGGGCTACAGTCTTTGTCTGAATCTGGTGAAGGAAAACAGAAGGTGGCATGAGCAACACTTCCTGAGCAGCCTTGAGTGTCACCATGACACCCCAAATACCCTCCCTAGGGGGCCAGTCACTTTTTTTTAAGATTTTATTTACTTATACATGAGAGGCAGAGAGAGAGAGAGAGAGAGAGAGGCAGAGACACAGGCAGAGGGAGAAGCAGGCTCTGCACAGAGAGCCTGACGTGGGACTTGATCCCAGGTCCCCAGGATCAGGCCCTGGGCTGAAGGCGGTGCTAAACCACTGAGCCACCCGGGCTGCCCCTGCCAGTCACTTTTTGAAAGGCTTCCTGAAATGTCTCTCTGCTTTGGCCTGGTGTGCCCCTGATTCACTGCAAGGGGCAGAGAATCGCAAAGTCCTCGCAGGCGATGAGGGGTTCAGAGTGAAGTCACCACCACAGCCAACACCAGCTAAGCCCCTCACGCCCTGGGGGGCAAGTCCATCTCAGGGATTCTTCCTTATGGGACAGTGCACTAGAAGGCATACAAGGATGCTCACTGCAACTTCATGTCTAGTAGCCATACCTCTGCCAACTAGAACTAACAAAAGCAGAATGCCTCAGGCTTTGGGGGCCACACAGCCTTTGCAACAGTGAGGCAGAGCCCTAAAGCACAGAGGGAAGTGGCCCAGGAGAGAAGGAAGAGGTTCTGAGGGCACAGTTTGATCCTGGCCAGTAAGACCCCACTGTTTGCTTCCCCCTCACTGTCCACTAAAGAAGAGATCCCATTAACAATAACCTCCATAAAAACAAAACAGAATGGAAAAGTTTAATTGCTCCAGAAAGAATATTTCTCAGGTAAATTAGCCATTTAGTATCTGGATCTCACTTCAGAAGACACCTTTCTCCATGTGAATTTGTTTCCACTTTGTGTGTTTTCACAAACTAAGAGGCAAAATAGTGCACTCCTGTCCACCTAGGAAATAGCACTAAGTTAAAAAAAAAAAAAACAAAAAAGTTGAACTTCTGCTTCCTAACAAGACAGAGCAACAGGAGCTAGATCTCCCTCCCATCCAAAACAATGAAAAGACACAGGCAAAATACATGAAACAGTGGTTGGTAAGACACCTGGCATCAGTCCAAAAACCTCTTTCTGAGAGGCAGAAAAAACCACCACCACCTCAGGAGAGTTTCCAGGCCATGGCCCAGGGGGAGTAACCCCAGCAGACCTCCTGAGTTGAGACGGAGCTGAGTGGCTGGGGAGACCAAGATGGTTAGAGTCCACAGGACAAGGTGCAGCAGAGGAGACAGAGGCACAGAGAAACACTCCAGAAATCTGGACAGAGTTCCCTTCAAGGATTCAGCAAAGTCCGTGTGAAGAGACAACCCAATGCCAGGCAAAGACCAACCAAAAGGATCAGAGGGAAAGGTGCCTGTGGCTCACAGGGGCCAGGAATGGTGTCTGTCTCCGCCGGGGTGTGTGTGTGTGTGTGTGTGGAAAGCCTCATAAGTCATGGGGTACTGGTAGAGCAATGAGAATGGTTTTGCTTCAGAAACAAGAAATAATTAGCCCTAGACAAAAAGCTGTTCTGGTACCATCTTCAAAACCTAAAAGCAATACCCTAAAGGAACACGTTGTTTTCAAATAACTGCATGCCAGAAAAAAGTTCAAGAATACTTATAAGGTGCAAAAATATCCAGCAAACAACAAGCTAAAATTCACAATGCCTGGAATCCAGTGAAAAATCACCAGGCATGCAAAGAAGCAGGAAAATATGACATATAATGGGGAGAAAATCAAACTGTCAAAATTAACTCGGAACACACACAGATGTTAGAATCAGCAGGGAAAAATGTTAAGTTTATTATATCTGCATAATATATGATCAAAAAGTTAGAGACATGGAATATATGAGAGAGACCAAAATAGAACTTTAGGGACAAAACCTATAATGTCTGAAATGAAAACTGCAGAACATGGGATTAATGACAGGTTGGGCACCACAGAAGGTAAGATGAGTGAACTTGAAGACACAACAATAGAAACCATCCAAAATGAAACAGAGGAAAAACAGTCAGGAGAAATGAAAAAGAGCACCAGTGAGCCATGGGGCAAGTGCAGGAAGGCATGTGCATGTGTGCATGCACACACATCAGTGGGATCCTCAATCAACCCCAACCACAAGAAAAAAAATGAAGAAAACCATGTTGAAGCACATCATAATAAAACTGCTCAAAACCAGTGATAAAGAGAAGTTCATATAAACCACCATCAAACAAACAAACAAACAAAAAACATGTTATACAGGGACAGAGACAAGGAAATCAGTCGGTTTCTTGCTGGATACAACAAAAGCAAGAAGAAAATAGAGCAACATCTTTAAATGACTTCAAGAATTAAAAAAAAAAACCCTTCTAACTAGAGTTGTATACCTAGCAAAGATATCTTTCAAAAATGAATGCAAAATAAAAAATTTTTTTAGATATTCAGAAGCTGGAAAAATCCATGACTAGCAAACTTGCACCACAAGAAGTAGTAAAGGATTTGCATCTATTTCCTTCTGGAAAATGATAACAAACAGAAACATGAATCTACACAAAGGGACGAAAGCACAGTAAAAATGGTAACCACATGTGTAAATATAAGCCTTTGCACTATTAAAATCTCTTTAAACATAGTTGGTCAAACAAAAACAGTAACAAGATATTGCAGGGCTTTATAACATATATAAAATAAAAGGCATAACAATAATAGTATAAAGGCCAGGAGGAGAGATGGAAGTCTGCTACTCTGCAGTTTTCAGTCTGCACATGAAGTGCTATCAAGTCACTTGAAGATTTGACAGTGATGTTAATGATGCGCAGTATAAACCCTAAAGTAACCACCAAAATAATAAAGAGTTACAGCCAATAAACCAACAAAGGAGATAAAACAGAACCCTAATTTTTACTTCATTAGTCCAAAAGAGGCAGAAAAAGCAGAAAGTGGAAATGAAGAACAGATAAGATCAACAAGACACACAGCAAGGTGATGGACTTAAACCTAACCATCTCAATAATCACGTTAAATGCGAATGATAAACACCTTAATTAAAAGGCTGGATTTTTTTTTTAAAGCATATAATGGAATATTACTCAACCATAAAAAAGGAATGAAATCTTGCCATTTGTGATAACATGGATGGATCTAGAGAGTATAATGCTAAGTGAAGTAAGTCGGATAAAGACAAAACCATGGAATTTAAAAAACAAAAGATACAAAGGAAAAAATACAAACAAGACAGATTCTAAAATACAGAGAACAAATTGGTAGTTACCACATGGGATGTGGGTGGGGGATGGGAGATATAGTGAAGAGGGATCAAGAGCACTTATTTTGATGAGCTCTGAGCAATGTACAAAAGTGCTGAATTATTTTGCTGTGTGCCTGAAACTAATATAACCCTGTATGTTAATGATACTTCAGTTAAAACAAGTAAAAAAGCACCATACAACACATGATACTTTAGACCACACTTTAAATATAAAAACACAAATAGGGGGCAGCCCCGGTGGCGCAGCGGTTTGGCGCTGCCTGCAGCCTGGGGTGTGATCCTGGAGACCTGGGATCGAGTCCCACATCGGGCTCCCTGCATGGAGCCTGCTTCTCCCTCTGCCTGTGTCTCTGCCTCTCTCTGTGTCTATGAATAAATAAATAAAATATTAAAAAAAACACAAATAGGTTAAAAATAAGAGGATGAAAAAAGATATACCATGCAAACACCCATTATAAGAAAACTGGAGTAGTTGGCTATATTAATACCAGAAAAATAAATTTCAGAACAAAGAATAATACCAGGCATAAAGGAAATCACTTCATAATGATAAAAAGTTCAATTCATCAAGAGGACACAAGAATCCCAAATGTTTAGGCATCTAAATAAGAGCTTCCAAATACATGAAGCAAAACCTGATGGAACTACAGGGAAAAATACATCTACAGTTACAACCAAATATTTTATTTTATTTTATTTTATTTTATTATTTTATTTTATTTATTTTATTTTGTCTTTGTATATGTTTTTATTCCAAATATTTGTTAAAATATCATTAGGTTATTCCTCAGGACAAGAGCAAAGATCACCCCTGCAGAAACTTAGGAACTATGTACAGAACTTTACAAAACAGAGGACAACACTTTGGCTGAAACCTGACTGCTGACCAGAGAATGGAGTTCTGAGTGGGCTCAAGAAGACGAAGCAATCGGGAAGGGAAGGCGGTCTGATTGAAGCTTCAACTTCCAAGAAGGCTAGTCTTGTGACGGTCATAAATTGGAGGCTCTGGTTTTGGAAGGTTCAAGTACAGCACAGGGGGTTCCATGTGTCTATTTGGCTACACTCCCGGCTGAGGTGCCATTGGGTCAATGTCATTCAAATTCCTAGCCAGCCATACTCCCACAGCAAAAAGTCCCAAATTGAGGATCAAGTTCCCCTGGAAATCGTTCCTGTCAGTGGCGAAACGGTAGACACCCCAGAGCCAATCTCCCACGTTGTCTGGAATTTCTGGTGCTTCATTTGGCGTGCCAGCAGCGCTCACGCCAACCCTGCTGGAAGCCATAGCAGCACCCTCACAGCCAAATATTTTAATAACCCATTCTCAATAACTGTTAGATCAAGTAGATGATAAAGGTATGGAAAACTCAAACCACATTATGAACCATCGCGAACTGGTATTTCTAGAGCTCCAACCAACAGCAGCAGAATACACCTTCTTCAAGTGTACTCAGGACATCTACTAGGATATAGACCATATTTGGGGCCATAAACAAGGCTTAAAAAATTTAAAAGGATTAGAGTTATATGAAGTATTTCTTTGACCACAGCGATGTTAAATTAAAAGTCAGTAACAGAAAAACCCTGGAAAATCCCCAAATATCTGGAGACTAAATAACACCCTTCTAAATAACTCATTGGTCAAAAAAGAAATCAAAAAGTGAAAATGTACTTCGAACTGAATAAAAGTGAAAACCCAAGATATCAAAGCAGTACTCTGAAGAAAATTTATAGCACTAAATACCTAAATTAGGAAAGAAAAAAGGTCTCATATCAATGGTCTCAGCTTCCACCTTCAGAAACTAGAAAAGAGCACATTAAACTCAAGGCAAGCAGAAGAAATGAAATGATAATAAACAGTAGAGCAGAAATAAATTAAATAGAAAAAAACCAACATGCCAAAAGCTGTTTTTTTTTTTTAAGATTTATTTGTTTATTCATGACAGAAAGAGGCAGAGACATTGGCAGAGGGAGAAGCAGGCAGGGAGCAGGGAGCCTGATGCAGGACTCGATCCCAGATTCTGGGAACCCACCCTGAGTCAAAGGCAGACATTCAACCACTGAGCCACCCGGACATCCCGCTGTTTTTTGAGAAAATCAGTAAAACTGATGAACCTCTGGCCAGTGGTCAGAAAAAAAAGACAAATTATCAATATCAGGAATGAGAGAGGGGACATCTCTATAAGTCAAGGATTATAAAAAAGACAATATATGAGACCATTATGAACAATTTATGTTAATATATCAGACAACTTAGAAGAAATGAACAAATTTCTCAAAAGAAAAACAAAGCTCACTCAAGAAGACATGATAACGTGACTAGTCCTACATCTAGGAAATAACCTGAATCCACGCTTCAAAACCTTTCCCATAAGAAAACTCCAGGCTGAGGTGGCTTCACCATCAAATATTTAAGGAATAAAAAAAAAAAGCCAATTCTAAACAAATTCTTCCAAAAAATTGAGGAGAAGGGAGTATTTCCCAACTCATTTGATAAGGTCAGCATTACCCTGATACAAAAGCCAAAGGTACTAAAAGGAAAGAAAGTTACAGACCAATATCCCCTCATGAATACAAATGAAACCTTCTAAACAAAGTTTTAATAAATAGAATCCAACTATATAGAATCTCCATCCTATATATATGAAGGATAAGACATCATGGCTTAAGTGGAGCTCATCCCAGAAATGTGAGGTCAATTTAACAATCAAAAATCAATGTAATTGGTCATTCTAAAATAAAAAATAACCATATGATAATCTCAATAGGTGCAGAAAAACCACTACCAATACAACCCCATATCCTTTACTGATACAAACTCTCAGAAACTAGCAATAAAAGGAACTTCTTCAATCTGATAAGCAACATCTACAAAGACCCCACAGCTAATGTCATACTGAAGAGGGAAAATATGGGATGGTTTCCCTCTAAGATCATGAACAAGTCCAGAATGTCCACTCTCAGCAAGGTACTGGAGGTTCTACACAGTGCAGTGAGGCAAGAAGAAATTAAAGGCCTCCAGATAGGAAAGGAAGAAATAAAACTGTCTTTATTTGCAGCTGATATCATTGTCTATGTAGAAAATCTAATAGAATCTACAAAAAAAGCTACAAAAACTAATACATGAGTTTAGCAAGACTGTAGAACACAAGATCAATTATTATTTCAATTTTGTTTCTATGTATATTAGCAAGAAACTATGGAAATCAGAATTAAAAAGAACCTTCTAGAACAGCATAAAAATTAGAAATACTTAGGAAGAAATGGATACCAAATGCGCAACACCTAAATCCTAAAACCTTCAAAACTGTGGAGAGAAATTAAAGACTTAAATAAATATACTTTGTTCATTGGTCAAAAAGACTAAGTACCATTAAGAGATCAATTCTCTGCAACTGACCTAGAGAATCAATGCTGTACCAAACAAAATCCTATCAAAAAAAATTTTTAAAGAAATTGACAAGCTAATTCTAAAATTCACATGGAAATGCAAAGGACCTAGGATAGAAAACACTTTGAAAAAGAATAAGAAAGTTCAAGAACTAATGTTTTCTGATTTCATTACTTATTATAATACAACAGTAATAAAGACCTTAATAGTAGACAAACATCAAACAAAATGGATAGTCCGGAAATAAACACATAGGTGTATGGCCAACTGATACTTGGCCAAAGTATAAAGGCAGTTGGGTAGAGAAAATATAGTCTTTTCAACAAAAGGTACCAAAACGTTTAAATATGCATATACAGAGGCACCTGGGTGGCTCAGTGGTTGAGTGCCTTTGGCTCAGGTCATGATCCTAGGGTGCTGGGATCAAGTCCTGCATCAGGTTCCCTGGAGGGAGCCTTCCTCTCCCTCTGCCTATGTTTCTGATTCTCTGTGTCTCATGAATAAATAAATAAAACCTTAAAAAATAAATAAATAAATAAATAAATAAACAAACAAATAAATAAATAAATAAACAAATGCAGAAAATGAACTCTAATCCTTACCTTGCACTATCAACCAAGAATGGGTCATAAATCTCAAAAACCAAAACCAAAACCCGTAACATTTTAATAAATAAAATCTAACAATATATATATATATTATATAAAACTAGAAGACATCATAAAACTAGAAGAAACTAGAAGAAAACATGGGGGAAAATTCTGATGACTTTGGATTAGGCAAAGGTTTCTTAGCGATGCCATTTGAAGCATGGTCCATAAAAGAAAAATTGATAAATTGAGTTCACTCAAATTTTAAAACTTTTCCTCAAAAGACACTTGAACAGAGACTGAGAAGCCAGAGACCAGGGGCAAGCATCCGCAAAGCAGGTACTTGGATGTAGAACTTGTGTTCAGAACAAATAAAGAACTCTTGCAATTTAATAAAAACACAAATACTCCAAAAAGAAAACCCACACAGACAAAAAAAAAAACAAAAACAAAAAACAAAAAACAAAAACCACAGGTAAAAGATTGGGAGCAGACACCTCATCAAATGAGGCACACAGACAGCAAAGCAGCAGGTATGCTCAGCACTGTCAGTCTTTCTGGGAGTACAGAGAGGGAACCACTGTGTGCGCTCACCAGAATGGCTACAGTAAGAAGAGGGGGGGTGTTGTGATGGCATGGGCCACCTGGAACTCTCATGCACTGCCCACCCACCCATGGGAATGTGTAGTGGCATGACCACTCTGGATAACCATTTGGCAGTTTCTTAAAAGTTAAACATAACACTTAGTGTATGATGTGCTCATTCCTCCCCTGCCTATTCACCCCACAGAAGAACAGTATTGGTCCATGAGATCCTTGAACGTGAAGGAGTGTTCACAGCAGCTTTATTTATAATGGCTAGTATCTGGAAACCTCCCAGATTCAATGGGTGAAGGACTAAATAAACTTCAGTACATCCAACAATGACATATACCCCAGCAATGAAAAGGGGTGAACCACTGGCACACAACAACACAGATGAATCTCAATCATGCTGAGTGTAAGGAGCCAGAGAGCATAGCACATGCCCTATGATGGTTTCATTGATGAAAAACTCTGGAAAACGCAAACTAATTTACAGTGACAGAAAGTAGACAAGGTGTTGACTAGGGACAGGGTGGCAGGAAAGAGGGACTCTACAAAGGGGCGGGGGAAAGTCTTGGGGGGTGATGGGCATGTTTGTTATCTTGACGGTGGTGATGATCCTATAGTTGTGTAAGTACACAAAAACATCAAATGTTACACTTTGATTACGTGCAGCTTTGTGTATATCAAGTTAACAAAAGAAGAGAAAAATCAGCAGGATATTAAGTATATTAAGATCTGTGCAGGCAGCGTGATGACTGAAGTTCAAGAGTGAAAAGCAGAGGTTATCCATCAGGAGGAGGACTCTGGGCAGGGGGATTGAGGCCTTTCGTGGAGCATTTCTCAAGCTGAGAATAGGAGCATTCATTTATTGGAGCATTGAGCACTGCTGCATTTCTGTACTGTCTGGAGGTGTCCACATGGCTTTCTAAAATTATGAAATGTTTACAGACAAGCACAGCATCACCCTCAATGGGCTCCTCAGCTCTAGCTTAGCTCTGCTGTAGGAGGTGAGGCCCTGTCTACACCAGTGTGCCCCACATTCACCTTACCGTCTTGTGTATCAAGTAAAAGTCCTTCTTGTGGGCACAGAACGCCTTCTTAAAAAGCCTCTTCTCCATGGGGGTCCAGATGTCTGAACCTATCAAAGAAAGAGCCGAGAGGGGGAAGGACATGGCTGAAGGGCAGAGCATCCTCCTTTTTAAAGCTGCCATCAGGGCACCTGGGTGGCTCAGAGGTTGAACGTTTGCCTTCAGCTCAGGTTGTAATCCCGGGGTCCTGGGATTGAGTCTCGAATCAGGCACCCTGTAGGGAGCCTGCTTCTCCCTCTAGGTCTCTGTCTCTGTCTCTCTTGGATAAATAAAATCTTTAAAAAAATAAATAAGGCTGCCATCAGCAAACACAATTACGTCAAGCAGTCTGCTGAACCCCTGACTTGCTTTATCTCATACAATCCTCACAAAACCCTTAGCAGGTAGGGGCCATGATGATTTTCACTTTATAGATGCAGCCACTGAGGCTTCCCTGAATTGAGAGGCTTGCCAAGGCTGAGGGAGGGCCCCACACTGCCTGACTCCAGGGTGGTTCAGCCCACTTCTGAACCCTGGCCTGCCTCCACCTCTCCCTGGCCACAGGCAGCCCCTTCCTGGCTGGACAGAGCCCCTGAGGGAACCACTGAAAAGGGGGATGGTGGGATACAACTAGAAGAGAACACGCCCACAGAGTCCCTGCCCCGCCCCGGGAAGAACAAGCCTTTCTGGAAAAGCAGGTGAAGGCCTCTAAGAGAACTCCCAAGAGGCACAGGCAAAGTGTGCTGTTGGGACTGACTGTTGAGCTGGTGTCATGTAGGCAGAAACCACACCCACACCCTGCTCCACTCACCTGTGTAGCGGTAGTCGGCCAGTGGGTGAGTCTGTGGCTTCTGGGGTCCTCTGAGTAAGAGGGTCTCCAGGGCAACCTAGAGCAAAAGTAGTGCCAGGCTACTTACGCTGGACAGGGTTGGAGAAGGGGGACGACAAAGAGTCTTACTTTCATTCCTTTGTTCCTCCGTAAAACACTCAGGACCCTCCCAAAGGCCTGCCCTTCCCTACAACTCAGCATGGGGCTGGTGCACAGAGCAGCCACTGCCTGTGAGCCACCTGTGGACACTGGGACTATAGCACTGAACACAGAGTGCAGCAGATGTGGATTCCTCCTGGCAAGGTTCTCCTGATGCAGGAAAGTGTGCGCAGATTTATTCTGCTGTGAGTCCCTCACCATCAGGGTCCGGCCTTTGGAACAGTGCTGCCTGTGCTCACTGCCTCGCTTTACTTCCTTCATAGCACTAGTCAGTGTCCAGCAATCTTCTAAAACGTATTTCCTGTTTTGACTCTTCTCAAATGTCAGCCCACAGAGAGAGGGATTTTTGTCCTGCTCACCAGAACAACCCTGTCAGGTCCAGCCATGTGGTCTGTGGGTCCCAGTGCAAAATGAAAACAGGGGCCCTTGTTCGAAACTGACTGATAATTTCACGATGGCGGCAGCAGAGCATGAAGCCAAGGCTGGGACCCTTAGGCCAGCCCTGGCCCCAGTGCCACATTACCAAGTGCTCAGTAGGACCCCATGTGTGTTGGTCACTCTTCTGAGCACCCACTATGCGCTGGCCGCTGCCTCTCAGCTGCAGAAAAAATATGACTGTGGCACTGACTCCTGGGGAACCCATCTCGGGTGACAGGTCTCTTCTCTCCCACTATTCAAGAATGTGAGCAGGGTCCTTGAAATAGGCAGAGGCATTTCTATTGCATTAGAGGCTTTCATACATGGGTTTTTAATTGAAGAGGGATAATAAAGCTCAATAAATAAACCCAATCAGCACAGGATCTGAGTTGGGCCTACTGGGCTCCCAGCTCCCCACTGCCCCTGAGACCTCTTGGAGGAACCCTGGCACCACTGTTGTGTCAGACAGCTGATTCGCTGAGCCCGTATCTGCAGCTCACAAGACCTGCACCAATCCCAAAGCCACTGGAAGAAGGGTGATGGGCTTCCTTCATTCTTCGTGAGCCACAAACCCCCAAGCCAGTGGCACGCTCCATGCACCTGCAGCTCCCAGCCCCAGGAGAGCTGGGAGCTTCCTGTGACAGCCTCCCCACCCTACCTCATCCTGCCCCTGCTTCACTTCACCTGAACATTGCCCTGGGCTTCGTGCAAGCAGTGCAGAGCAAGCTCCAGATTGGTGCCCCCTCCTGGCATCACGCTGGAGCAGGCCACGTTGCACAGCTCGGTCACTGTTGCCAGCAAGCATGTGAGAGAGGAGATACAAAGAGTCAGGGAGCTCCAGGGAGGAGATTTTCCTGACAGCACAGAGATGGGGGCTTCTTGTCACTGACCCCCCTCACATCTTAGCTGAAAGTGGAATGAGGGTAGAGAGAGCCAAGGAGGAAGGGCATAAATCCTGCTCCCAGCCCCTGCTCTGAGCAGCCTGGTCAGGACTGTGTGAGAAGGGAGGTGGGAGCAGGAGGCTGCAACTCAAGAGAAGCATCACAGCACCAAGGGCTAGCCCTTCCTACCCCCTCACTCCAGGGCACTGCTTCTTGGCCAAGGGGAGAACTGGGAGGAAAAAGCCTCAGATAGGGGGTGGCGGCAGGGCCCCGGGGAATTTGGCCCCAAGTCTCAGCCACCTCTGTCCTGTGTTTCTGGGTTGGTTGTCACATCTCCCCATGGCTTCCAGACCAGAGAAGCTACATGCTCATCCATTCCAGCCAGCGATCTCTCCTGAAGCTCTGGGATCTCAGCTTGAAACCGGCTTCCTATGTTGATGTGTCTGAAATGAGGCCACACACACACAGACATGCGAGACATACACATGTGACTAAGACAGGAGATAAAACAGGGATGTGTGGTGCTGTGCCCTGCTCTTGGGCCCCAGCCCCGCTCTGTGCCATCTGTCAGACATGTGAAGTGTCCATCATCCCTGATAGATATGTACAGGCATTCCAGAAACCTCTCAAGGGATGCTTCCTTCCTTCCCCTGATTCTCCTTATTGCCACATCTCTGGCCTCAGGTGTCTCTTTGGGTCTAGGACAGGGAAGGTATATGCTGATAGCTGGCATGCTTCTACATCCACAGCCATATCTATCCAGCCACATTCCACAGACACTAAAATGTCTTGCACTGTAACATCACCAATTCTACCTAGAACCCCAGGGTCCTGGGCATTCTGTTCCCCTGGTCCCAGCTATGGTATGTCTGAACAGAAAGAACACTGGAGGAACTTCCCACATACACCCACAGAAATGCACTTCTCTCTTAGGAAGGCTCCATAGTTAGATCTGATCCTCTATGATAAAGGGGCCATTGGGAAAAACTGACACTAGCCACAAGGAGGGCAAAAGCACCCCTACTTTGGAAGGATCCACTCTCAGGTGCTAAGTCTGTTCCAACTCACGGTTCAATGCTGATCTTGGTGTCATCCTTTACCATGCAAATGCCAAAAGAGCCATCCACTTGATCTAGGAAACACGTAACAAAAAAAAAGTCTCAAGAAGATTGATAAGAAGTGTTCTGGGGGCCCATTCTGCCTGACTTTGCAGAGCAGCTAAAAGCAGCCTCTCTTAAAGCTGAGTGGTAGGTAAATTAAAAAAAATTAAATTAAAAGTAGAACTATCACATGATTCAGCAATCCCGTTTCTGGGAATTTGTCCAAAAAAACTTGAAATCAGTATCCTCAAAGAGATACCTGCACTCCCATGTTTACTTGGCACTATTCACAACAGCCAAGTAGAAACAATCTAATTGTCCACTTACAGGAGAGTGGGTAAGGAAAACCTAGTATTTACATCTAATGGAAAACTAGGTAGACTTTTTTCATTTTTTCTTAAAAAGAAACCTTCAGTATTCAACAGCATGAATAAACCTTGCAGACATTATGCCAAGTGAAACAAGCCAGTACAGAAAAGAAAATATTGTATGACCCCACTTGTATAAGTATCTATAATAGTCAAATTCAGGGGCTTGTGGTGGCTCAGTTGGTTGAGCATCCAACTCCTGGTTTCGGCTTGGGTCATGATCTTGGGTTCTGGTATTGAGCACCACATTGGGCTCTGCACAAGGCATGGGGCCTGCTGGAGATTCTCTCCCTCTCCTTCTCTCTCAGCCCCTTCTCACACATGGATGCTTGCTCACTGCCTCTCTCTCAAAATAAATAAATAAAAATTAAAAAATAGTCCAATTCACATAATCAAAAGTGGAATGGTGGATGCCAGGGGCTGGGGGAGTGAGAAGTGGGTATTCACTAATCAATGAGCATAAAGTATCAGTTAAGACAGACGAATAAGCTCTAGAGCTCTGCTCTACAGCACAGTAGCTATAATTAACAATGTACTGTATACCTTCTCATTTAAGGGGGCAACTGTTCTTATCATGAGAAACATCATAACATATTAACTGTTCTTATCATGAGAAAACATTTTTTGAAAAGATTTATTGGGGCGGGGGAACAGGGAGGGGGAGTCAGAGAGGGAGAGAGTAACCTAAGCAGACTCTTGTGCTAAGCATGGAGCTCAATGTTGGGCCTGGTATCATGACCCTGATATCATGACCTGAGCTGAAACCAAGAGGCATGAAAGGGGGAGTGGACTTCTAAAAAGCAGAGTAAGGAACTCAGCAGGATGACTAACTGATAAAAATTATTTTTAAAAACAGCAACTTAAAGTCTCTGGAAGTTGTCCTAAAGGCATACAGTATTTTGGGAAATACTCATTTAAGAAAATGACCAAATATTGGTAAGAACAGTGAGAGTCTGTGGCATCTGCCCATCCCTTACCCACCCAATCCCCAGCTCTCTTTAACAGAAGCTCTACCTGGAGTGCCCAACTCTAGGCAGGTGCAACTAAAGAGAGAGGCTTCCTCTCCCTGCAGCATCAGTGCTTAAAGAATTAAAGGGAGGTATGATGGAAGATTTCTTATCAGAGAGAGAATACCATTAGGAGACAGAAGAGTTTAAAAAAGAACCAAATGGAAATTCTGGGGCTAAAAAAGTATATTAACCGGGGTGCCTGGATGGCTCAGTCAGTTTAGCATCTGACTCTTGATTTCAGCTTAGGTTATAATGAGATAGAGCCCCACATGGGGCTCCTGTGCTCAGTGGGGAGTCTGCTTGAGCTTCTCTCTCTCCCCCTCTCCCTCTGCTCCACTCTCCCACCAAAAGAAATAAATCATTTTTTTAAAAGTACAATAACCAAGATGAGGCTCAACAGTAGATTTGAACTGGCATGAGAAATAATCAGCAAATCTGAAGACAGATCAATGGAGATTATGTAATCAGAAGAACAGAGTGAAAAAAAGAGGAGAAAGATGGGGTGAGCCTCAGAGAAATATGGGACATCATTAAGTACAATGAAATACTTGTAAGGAGAGTACCAGAAAAAGAGAAGAAAGGGAAAAAAACATGTAAGATATAATGACATTGATACAACAGCTGAAATCTTCCCAAATTTGGTAAAACAAACAAAAAAACCCACCTATATATACATCCAGGAAATTATATAAACTCCAAATAAAACAAACACAAAAAGCTTTACATCTAGACACATAATAGGCAAAATGCTGAAAGCCAAAGATAAAGATCTTGAAAGTAAAAAGAGAAAAACTTGTTACATTCAAGAGCACCTGAGTAAGATTAACAGCTGACTTATCAGAACAGAGGTCAGAAGGCAGAAGGATAACATATTCAAATTGCTGAAAGTAAAAAAACTGTCCATTAGTAATCATATCCAGTAAATTACTTTTCAAAAATAAAGGTAAAATAAAATCATTCTCAAATAAAAAATGGTATTTGTTGCTATTACACCTGTCTTTTTTTATTTTTTTTCTAAATTTTTTATTTATTTATGATAGGCACACAGTGAGAGAGAGAGAGAGAGGCAGAGACACAAGCAGAGGGAGAAGCAGGCTCCATGCACCGGGAGCCCAACGTGGGATTCAATCCCGGGTCTCCAGGACCACGCCCTGGGCCAAAGGCAGGCGCTAAACCGCTGCGCCACCCAGGGATCCCCTATTATATCTGTCTTATAAGAAACAGAAAACGTGGAGGGGTGCCTGAGCGGTTGAGTCATGATCAGCTCAGGTCATGATCTCAGGGTTGTGGGATCGAGCCCTGGGTCAGGCTCTGTGTTCAGCAGGGAGTCTGCTGAAATCCCCCCTCCCCTATGTTCTCTCTCTAAAATAAATAGATAAATCTTTTTAAAAAAGAAATAAAGGTAGAATATTATTCAGTCACAAAAAGGAATGGGATACTGACATACTGTAACACAGGTGAAGCCTGAAACCTCATGCCAAGTGAAAGGAGACAGTGGGCAAAAAACCGCATATTGTAGGATTCCATATATATGGAAATATCCAGATTAGCCAAATCTACAGAGACAGAGAGACTACTAGTGGTTACTCAGGGCTGGGGGTGGGGGTCAGGGACAGGAGTGGCTGCTAAGAAGTGTGGGGCTTCTTTAGAGGGTGATGACTATGTCTGAAAATTAATGGTAGCAACGGCTGCACAGTTCTGTGAATGTAATAAAAACCACTGTAATACATACTTTAAAGGGATGGATTTTATGTAAATTGTATCTCCATAATGATAACAAAAACCGGGGATCGGGCAGCCCAGGTGGCTCAGTGATTTAGCACCGCCTTCCGCCCAGGGAGTGATCCTGGAGACCCAGGATCCAGTCTCGTGTCAGGCTCCCTGCATGGAGCCTGTTTGTCCCTCTGCCTACGTCTCTGCCTTTCTCTGTGTCTCTCATCAATAAATAAATTAAATTAAAAAAAAAACAAACAAAAACGGGGATTCCTGGGTGGCTCAGCGGTTTAGCGCTGCCTTCAGCCCAGGGCGTGATCCTGGAGTCCCGGATTGAGTCCTGCATCGAGCTCCCTGCATGGAGCCTGCTTCTCCCTCTGCCTGTGTCTCTGCCTCTCTCTGTGTCTCTCGTGAATAGATAAATGGAATCTTTAAAAAAAATGGTAACAAAACCCAAAAAAAGTTTAGACTGAAAGCAAATGACACCAGATAGTGATGTGAATCAAAAAAAAAAACAAAAAAACAAAGGATGTTGGTAAAGATGATTATAAAAGTATAATCACTTATTTCTTCTCTTAATTGACTCAGAAAGCAATTGCACAAAACAATATGTATTGTGGGGCTATAAAATATAGAAATACACTATAGGTGACAATAATATCATAAAGGAGCTACACTAAAGAAATAATACCCCAGACAGTAACTTGAATCCACAGGAATAAATGAAGCTTTCAGTAACAGTAAATAAGAAGGGTAATATAACAAACTCTATAAATAATACCTGTTTTCCTTTAATATTTTTTCATATAGCATAAAATTATATAAGTTAATAATTACAATAACATATTTCTGAGTTTCTCAAGTATATGTCTATGTATATACATATATATAACATATTGCTATATATATATATAACAGTAATAGCAAAAAAAGGCTAGAAGGAATGGAACTCGGTAGCAATATTTCTGTATTTTATTAATACACAACTGAACACACCATGATAAATTAAGACATATGTTTAAGTCCTAGAGCAACTCTTAAGAAATGACTAAGAAAAAGTGAAACATTAGAGGAACGGATGTGTTATATAGGAAAACATTCACTTAATATAAAGGAAAGCAGAAAAAGAGGAACAGAAGGAGAAAATGACATTGACATGAGACAAATAGGAAATAAAAAGCAAAATGAAAGATGTAAATCCAGCTGTATCAATGTAATATTAAAAGAGAATGATGGGCAGGCCGGGCGGCTCAGTGGTTTAGAGCCGCCTTCAGTCCAGGGCCTGGTCCTGGAGACCTGGGATCGAGTCTTATGTCAGGCTCCCTGCATGGAGCCTGCTTCTCCCTCTGCCTGTCTCCGTGTCTCTCATTAATAAATAAATTAAATTAAAAAAAAAAAAACGGGGATCCCACCCTCTGTGTTTCTCATGAATACATAAATAAATAAAATATTTAAAAAATAAAATAAAAGAATGCTTAGGGGCACCTGGGTGACTCAGCTGGTTAAGTGTCTGCCTTCGGCTCAGGTCACAAGGTCCTGGGACTGAGCCCCATGTCAGGCTCCTTGCTCAGCCCTCTCCCTTTGTCCCTCCCATTTGTGCTTGCTCATTCTTTTAAACAAATAAAATCTTAAAAAAAAAAAAAGAAATCAGAAAATACTTTGAGATAAATGAAAATAAGAATACAACATACTGAAACTTATGAATGTGGCTAAAGCAGTGCTCTGAGAAAAATTTATAACTATTAATGACAGTATTAAAAAAGAAAAAAAAAATCTCAAATCATTTATGGTCAATTGAGTTTCCACAGGGAGCCAAGCCAATTCAAGAGGAAAGGAATAGTATTTTCAATAAATGGTGCTGGAACAGCTGATATCCATATGCAAAAGAGTGAATCTGGACTCGTGCCTTACACAATATATAAGAGTTAAAATGGATCAGACACAAATTTAAGACTGAAAATGATACAACTCTTACAAGGAAACAAAGAAGTAAATCTTCGTGAGCTTTGGTCAGGCAAAAACCTTGGATACAATGCTGAAAGCACAAGTGACAAAAAATAAACTGGACTTCATCAAAATTAAAAACTTTAGTCCTGCAAACAAGACCACAAATAAAATGAAAAGATGATGCCGAAAATGAGAGAGAATCTGCAAACTGTATATCTGATAAAGGACTTAATTCCAGAATATATGAGAAAGTTTACAACTGAATAATAAAAAGACAACAACCCTATTCAAAAAAATAGGCAAAGGATCTGAAAAGATTACAAATGGACAGTAAGCATGCAGGAAGATGCTCAATCTCAACAGCTATCAGGGAAATGTAGCTCAAAACTAGATTGGTTATATAAGAAAAAAAGATCTCAAGTGTTGACAAGGATATGAAGAAACTGGAACTTTCATACAACGCTGGTGGGAATTTAAAATGGTCCAGTCATTTTGGAAAATGGTCTGGTAGCTCCTTAAATGGCTAAATATAGAGTTACTCTATGACCTGGCAATTGTACTCTTGGGGGTATTCGCAGGAGAAATGAAAACATACGTCCAAGAAAAACCTGTACGTGAATATTCAAGAGCGGCATTATTCACAATAGCCAAAAGGCAGAAACCACCCAAATGCCCATCAACTGATGAATGGATAAATAATATGCAGTTATGTTCAGACAACAGGATGTTATCTGAGCGAAAAAGGAAAGAAGCACGGACACATCCTATAACATGGATGAACATGGATGCTAGTGAATAAGCTAAACACAAAATGTTACCTACTATATAATTCCAGTTGTACAAAATGTCCAGAAAGGGCAGATCCATAGAGAGAAAATGCAGATTAGAGGTTGCTCAGAGCTGGAGATGGGGGCTGTGGAATGTGCGTGTGATGCATGGATTCGGTGCTTCTTCTGGGGGTGATCAAAAAGCTCTAAAATTAGATTGTGTGATCGGTGCAGAACCCTGTGAATACACTAAAAAAATGCTGTATACTTTAAACGGGTGGTTCTCATGGTATGTGAATTCTATTTCAGCAACACTGTTAAAAAGTACTTATAGAGCCCAGGCAGAAGGGTTTTCAGGCTACACAGTCTCCAGATTTTCTTTCTAGGTGTAACACTCTAAGTATCTAGAAGGTTGCTGGTCCCAGATGGTCCTGGGATACCTATGAACAGCAATGGCACTCATAGTCAGGCACAGCCACAGACCAGAGAGAATCTCTGGAAAAAATATGGCAGGAGGGAGTGGACCTGGCCCATAGCAGGCCAACCGCATGCTGAGCAGAGATTGTAATAATGCCCAGCCTCACTCACCAAGCATGTTGCTGATGAGTTTGTCGGGCCCGGCGTGAACGGAGGTGGAACAGAGGGTGTTGAAGTACAGCCCAGAGCCCTCGCGGATGGGGCTGAGCATGGGGGGTGGTGTATAAGGAGAGCACTGGAACAACCCCTTCAGGAGGCGGTCCACCAGGAACACTGGGGACCTCAGACAGCTCTGGTGGCATCCTCCCAGGCCCAGCTCCCCTAACGAAGAGGGTGCGGGAGGGATGGACAGTGACTTGGGCTGGGGGCGCTTCTTCCGCTTCCTGTGTTGGCTGCTCTCCTTGCTGTCTCTGTCTTCCCCATCCTTCTCTTGTCCCTGGAGAAGAAGAAGAGAGTTCAGAATGGCATGGGAGTACTGGAGACCACCTGCCCCACAGCTCTGTCTTTGGGATAGCAGGACAGTGGGCAGAGAGTACAGACTCCGGAGACTCAGGGCCATGTGACCACGCCTGGCGCCCTCAGAAAAGGGAGCCAAGCAGGGCTACTATGTTTGAGCCATACCCCAGATCCTAACTAAGCCTGGTGACATTTGAGGCTGGAGCCCTCCCATGCATCTGTGCCCTCAAAGAGGCCTTGACACAGAGCAATGTGCAAACAGGGAAGGCTGGTTTCAGTTGTTAAAAGGCCTGGCCCGCACAGAGTTGGGGCCAGAGACAGTGCAGCCATATCACAGAATAAGAAACAGCAACAGGTCCTGTGAGATGGGCAATGGCATCCGTGCACCTCATCCCCCAAGGCTAGCCTGGGCTTGCCTGGTGGGATCCTCCAGTAGAGGCTGGGGAGACTGGTCACTTGAAATTACAATGCTCTGTCTCACCTCCATGCAGTCCCTCCTCTCTGCCAGGCCTACTCCTCCTCTCCTCCACGTCTCAGCTCCGACACACCCTCCTCCAGGAAGACCTCCCTGATCTCCTCAGGCTGAGTCCCTGGGGCCCCTCTGGGATGCTCTCAGCTCCGTGCACTCTGGGGCATCACTGTTTGGGGACAGGTCCACTGACTCTACCGGACTGGCAGGCCCAGGGCTGTCATGGTCACCAAGTCCACAGGCTGGCACCAGGGAAGCTCAGTGGGAGTTAATGACTGATTGAACACGCAAACCAAGCTTCCTGAGACTCAGACATTTTTCTGATGTTTGGTTTGTGCTTTCCCTTGCCATTTCCACCAGCAGGTAGGGGAAGCAGCAGGAAGGAAGTGGACTGACCAGCACCCACCTTGGCAGCGCTCCCAATGGGTCGGGTTGCTGGAGCTACAGGCGCAGACACAGGGATCGCCAAAGGGGCTGCAGCTGTGTTGTCCAAGGACTTCTTAGCCCCTGGGGGAGTCTGCCCGTCCCCCTCTGGCCTCAGCACCTGTCTCAGTGGCTTGCAAAACTCCGTGCCAAACACCTAAATGCAGAAAACAGAAGGCTCTTTCAGATTCCTAGTAGGCAGGACAGGAAGAGCTGCTCTGGCCTGAAGCGCCGGACAGCCCTGACTCCTGGAACCCCTGCCCAGGCTTCCCCCAGGGGGACAGCTCCATCCTGAGATAGATGACATCCAGGCACCTACTCCCCAAAAAGCCTGCCAGAAACCCTGAAAGCAAGAACCTACTGCGCGCGCCCCTTCACCTGCTGCTCCTGCTTCCCTCGAGGTGATGGCCACTGGTCGCTGTGAAAACACATGTGGCTGCTCAGCCCTTTCTCTGTATAAAACATCTGGCTGCAATTCTTGCAGACATAAGTGCTCCTTGGCTCTGCCCAGTCTGCGGGGCCCCCATTTTGCTGGTTACTGTGAGGAGACATGGCAGGAGGGAAGAACAGGAGAATGGGACTCTGTCCCCATCACTAATTTCCTTTTGTTTTTTCTTTTTCATTTTCTTTTTTTTTTAATTTTGTATTTATTTATAATAGTCAGAGAGAGAGAGGCAGACATAGGCAGAGGGAGAAGCAGGCTCCATGCACTGGGAGCCTGACGTGGGATTCGATCCTGGGTCCCAGTCTGCGGGGCCCCCATTTTGCTGGTTACTGTGAGGAGACATGGCAGGAGGGAAGAACAGGAGAATGGGACTCTGTCCCCATCACTAATTTCCTTTTGTTTTTTTCTTTTTCATTTTCTTTTTTTTTAATTTTGTATTTATTTATAATAGTCAGAGAGAGAGAGGCAGACATAGGCAGAGGGAGAAGCAGGCTCCATGCACTGGGAGCCTGACGTGGGATTCGATCCTGGGTCTCCAGGATCGCGCCCTGGGCCAAAGGCAGGCGCTAAACTGCTGCGCCACCCAGGGATCCCTCTTTTTCATTTTCTTTTTATTTTTTTTTCTTTTTCATTTTTAAGTCTGATCAACTGATAACTCTTGAACCCTAAGAAGCGGAGACAGGATACCACAAATCTTCACAGCCGGGTGCATACCTCTTCAAGACTAAAGCAGAAGTGTTCTGTAGCTTTTAGGGTACAGATCCTTTACCTCTTTGGTTAGGTTTGTTCCTAGGTATCTTATGCTTTTGGGTGCAATTGTAAATGGGATTGACTCCTTAATTTCTCCTTCTTCAGTCTCACTGTAAACTGTGTGGAGGTTCCTCAAAGAGTTAAAAATAGATCTGCCCTACGACCCAGCAATTGCACTGCTGGGGATTTACCCCAAAGATACAGATGCAGTGAACGCCAGGACACCTGCACCCCAATGTTTATAGCAGCAATGTCCACAATAGCTAAAGGAGCTATTTATAAGGAGCCTTGGTGTCCATCGAAAGATGAATGGATAAAGAAGATGTGGTCTATGTATACAATGGAGTATTACTCAGCCATTAGAAATGACAAATACCCACCATTTGCTTCAACGTGGATGGAACTGGAGGGTATTATGCTGAGTGAAATGAGTCAATCGGAGGACAAACATTATATGTTCTCATTCATTTGGGGAATATAAATAATAGTTAAAGGGAATAGAAGGGAAGAGAGAAGAAATGGGTAGGAAATAACAGAAAGGGAGACAGAACATAGACTCCTAACTCTGGGAAACGAACTAGTGGTGGTGGAAGGGGAGGAGGGCAGGGGGTGGGGGTGAATGGGTGATGGGCACTGAGGGGGGCACTTGACGGGATGAGCACTGGGTGTTATTCTGTATGTTGGCAAATTGAATACCAATAAAAATAAATTTACAAAAAAAAATAAGACTAAAGTATCCAGAACTCGGGTGACCCAGGGTCAGGGCATAAAGGCCACCTGAGGAATCTGAGGGGCTGAGCTCCCCCAGGGTGTGCAGGGCATGGCTTCTGAACTTACCATCCACCTGCCACATTCTCCTCCTTCAGCGGATGGGGGAGCCGGTAGATATTTCCACCCTAAAGATGAAAATACATGTGAGCCAACATATTGGAAAGAAGGTATACAAGAGCTACAACTGTAAAACTCTGAGAAGAAAGCATAGGTGTGATTCTTCATGACCCTAGAGGATGCACTGGTTTCCCAGATAAGACCAAAACAAAAAGACAGAACTGACAAATCTGACTCCATCAAAATTTCTAACTGCTGTGCTTCAAAGGATACCATCAAGAGAGTGAAAAGACAATGGTAGAATGGGAGAAAATCACAGCCAGTCACAGGCCTGGCAAGGGATTGTATTCATGATATATAAAGAACTCATATACAGCTCAATAAGAAAAAGTCCAATAACCCAATTTAAAAATGGGCAAAGGGTCTAAAAGACACTTAGTGTAAAGGATTTACAAATGGGGGGCAGCCCGGGGGGCTCAGTGGTTTAGTGCCGCCTTCAGCCTGGGGTGTGATCCTGGAGACCCGGGATCAAGTCCCACGTCAGGTTCCCTGCATGGAGCCTGCTTCTCCCTCTGCCTGTGTCTGCCTCTCTCTCCCTCTCTCTCTGCCTCTCTCTCTCTCCATGTCTCTCATGAATAAATAAATAAATAATCTTTTTTAAAAAAGATTTACAAATGGCCACTGAGCACATGAAAAGATGCTTAGTGGCATTAGCCACTGAAGCAAAACAAATCAAAGCAGTGATGCAATACCACATCACACCTAGGAGGATGGCTGGGATACAAAAACCTGGAGAACCACCAGGGTTGGTGAGGATGCAGAGAAAGCAGAGTCCTCCTATACTGTGGGTGGGGATATTAAATGGCGTGGCCACTTTGGAAAAGTCAGGCAGTCCCTTGGACGGTTAAGCACAGAGTTGCCTTATGACCTAGAAATTGCACGCTTAAGCATTTCCCAAGAGAAATGGAAACCTATGTCTGAATGGAAACTTGTGTACAGATGTTCACAGCAGCACTATTCCCCATGGCCAAGGAGTGGGAACAACCCAAAGCCAATTGATGAATGGATTAACAAAACGTGATGCGTCCATACTGTGGAATATTACTCAGTTGTATAAAGGAGCAAAGCACTGACAGGTGCTAGAACACAGACAAAACTTGAAAACCCCACACCAAGTGTAAGAAACCAGACACAGAAGGCCACATAGTGTATGACTTCAACTACGTGAAATGTCCAGAAAGGGCAAACCCATAGACACAGGTAGATTCATGGTTGCCAGGGGTCAGGAGGGATGGAGAGATTGGGGGTGACAATTCAGGGTACAGGGCTTCTGTTTGGGGTGATGAAAACGTTTGGCAAAGAGTGGTAATGGATGTACAATCCTGTGAATATACTGAGAGCCACTGGAGAGTACACTTCAACATGGTGAATTAAATCATGTGTGCTGTCAAAAAAAAAAAAAAAGAGAGAGAGAGAGAGAGAAGAAAAAGACAGCTCTGGGGTGACAGGAAGGGTGCTGGACCCCGGGCCGTCACGAGGAAGGATGGCCCAACTCTCTGCACCCAGACCTGGTGGATGCCACCCGCAAGGACGGAGCTACCATTCCACAAGCGCTGGCTGGCATCGGGACCAAGACTCCCACCAGGAGTGGCAGGGCGTCATGCGCAGGAACATTTACGGGGGCAGAACTCTACCTTTATGTCCCTGAAGAATTTAAGGAGGGCAATCCAAAAGGAAGTGAGAGGCAAAAAGCAAGCCAGCAGAAAAAGCTCAGGGGGATGGGGTGGGGAGGGAAGGGTCTCTGACAACGCTGAAGACCTCATTCTGGCTCTTTCGGGGGAGGGGGTGACAAGAAGAGCCACAATCTCAGCAAATCTGCTCTGGAGGAGGACCCCCAGGGATCCTCCCCCCAGGGATCCGGCCAACCAATAGGTGCAGAAGCAAGTCACACATGGGACGCAGGAGACTCTGGCCTGGGGCCTGGACAGGTGGGTCAGAGGTTGGGGGTGGCATGAGGGCAGGGCCCACGTACCTGGATTCTGTTGAATATGGTCAGCTTGGACTTGGAGTCCTGGGGTGGCTCTGCTGGTGGTCCAGCTGATGAGAAGGAGGCCATGGCTACCTGGCTTGGGGAGGCCGTGCAGCACATATCCATTTTCACCTTCTCCTTCCTGAAGCCTGAGAAGCGCTGGGACCTAGGGTTGCCGGAGAAGAGCCTGTAGCCTCCGCCCCGGGTGCAGGCCTGGCTCTTTTCGCCTTTCCCGGCCCCCAAAGCCGGGCCATTCTCCGCCTGGGCCTGCTTCCCAGGGAGCAGGGCTCCGAGGGTCTCCTCCCCACCTAACTGGGTCTGCCGGGGGCCCCCGGGGGAGAAGATGTCCCCCAAGTCCAAGGTCCCTTTAGTGGATCTCAGCTGCTTGGCCAGAGAGGAGATGTCTGGATTCCCAGGAGGGTCCAATGATGCCGCTGTGAGGGGCAGCGGAGCAGTGGCCACTTTTGGTCCTCCCTTGGTGTCCCGTCTGGTGCCGCCTGGAGAGGCCTCTCTGGGGAACCCGGGTGTGGTTTTCTTCCTGCGGCCTGGGGACCCCTCTGGCTCCGGGTTTCCAGGGCCAGCATGGAGAGAGTCAATAGGAGTTGCTGGTGGTGGGGGCTGCTGCGGCCACGGCCCCGGCAGTGGCTTCAGGGTAGCCTGCTTGCCCTCGGGCCCCGGCAGCTGGGAGAAGATCCGCTGGGACTTGGCAATCATTTGGAACACCTGCATCTGCTCGTGGCTCACCAGAGACTCCTGGGACTTCAGGAACAGCTGCCGGAAGAGTGGAGTGGCATCCGATGGGAGCCCACTGGGCTTCTGGGCTTCTGGGAGGCTGGGCTCCCCGGGGTTCTGCCGCAAGAAGGAGTCACAGTCAAACTTGCTCTTCTTGGAAACCCAGGAGTTGTCTTCTCCGCCAACATATCTGGGGTCTCCTGAAGCCTCCCCAGGTGCCTTCAGGAGCGTGGCAGGGAAGGGCAACGCGTCCTCCAGACTGGGGCCTGAGTTGGGCAAGGGCTCCCCCACGGGGGAGGTGCTGCTGGGGCCAGGGGCTGACTCGCAGCCCTCCCGGGACGGCACTGACGGAGGCTTGTGGACCATGAACACATTGTTCCCTTTGTTCTTGGGGCAGCCGGGCAGGTTCCGGAGCCACTGGAAGTTGTGGCTGGCTGGCTGGGAACTGGTGGGGACAGTCTGGCCTCGGAACAGAGGCAGGCAGGCAGGTAGGGGGCCACCCTCAGGCCACCCATCCAGGGTGGGCGGCACTGGGAGCAGAGGGGGCTCAGACTCGGCCAGGTCAGTGCCCCCATTCTCCACTGCTCTTGATGTGAACATGGCTGCAGCAGGCTCCTTCCTTGGGGGACGAGGCTCTTCCGGAACGTCAAAGCCCAGGTTTCCAGGGGCCACTGGGATGCCTCCTGGGGTGCAGGAGGAGGGCCCGGAAGAGGGTGCGCAGGGACAGGCTGTGTTCCTCCCCTCACTGCCATCTGAGGGCCCCGCGGCGGCCGGGCCGGGAGAAGGGATCTTCTGGTGGACAATGCTGCTCACAATACAGCGCAGGAGGTCTCGGTTGGGCAAGAGGGAGCTGGGGGACCTGGCTTCTGGGGGCACCAGAGATCGCAGGCCAGCGGGTGCAGGCTGGCTGGCCCCCTCGTGGGTGTGGGGGGAGTCCCCGCAGGCTTCCTCTTCCGGGGGGGCTTCTTTCAGGATACACAGACCATGCTGGACCTCGTAGTGCCGACGTAGGGAGCGGTAGTCACAGTAGCTCTTGCTGCAGCCCTGCTCGATGCACACGAAGGGCTTGGTCTTCTGGTGGGTGAGCATGTGCCCGGTCCTGGAGTCACACGAGAGAAGTCAGTCAGCAGGTTTCTCAGCTGCCCCTTACCACATGCAGAACCCCAGGTGTGTCCCCAGGGGGTGGCACTTATCAGAAGCTACACTGAGCCTTTCTGAGGAAAGACCCAGGCAGCCACTCTTATGGGCAAAGCAATGCAAGGGGTGCTCCCCTCCCTCACCTTTGAGCAAAACCCTTATATGAGGGGAAAAAAAAATCAATGAAAGCCAGATTGGAGTTCCCCAAAGTGAGTTCCCAAGGAACACCAGTCCTCCAGAGTCGCTCCCTGAGGACGTGGGCTCAGCTGGCAAGGAAGTTTTGAAAAAAACACCATTTGCTCCTTGGAGGTTCGGCGTAGCAAATTTAAAAGCTATATAGTGCATAGAGAGACATCTCTTTAACCTCCCATATCTCTCAAACCTATGTGCCCACAGAACCATTTATTTAAACAGCCCCTTTTAGCATCCTTGAGGACCAAGGTTCTGCAGGACACAGTGAAGGAGATGCTATCTTCAGGATAACCATTGCCTTAGCCAAAAGAGCCTTTGCCTTCCCATAGCACTCCTCTAAGGAGACAGCTACCTGGAACCCACTCCAGCAAAAAAAAAAAATAAAATAAAATAAAAAAATTACAGATGCTCCATCAGTAAAAACTTTCTAGCAGTCAAATGTGCCTTCTGTAATTTCTGCAATTATAAAAGAATACAAATATGTACTACATCTATATCATACTTCTATGTACATTAATATATCCTGTCTTGCTCTGGGTTCCCAACAGCCCTCCCTTGGACAGTCTAATCAACATGACACATGGGGTATCTCCAATAAATAACACAGCCCTTCCTCAAAGACTGGCCTTGGCCTCCATCTGAGGGCAGCTGCAGAGAAGAGTCGGGAGATTCCATTTCTAGCCCCAACCATAGTTAGGTGCATCCTAAAAATGCAAGGATTTGCCATCTACCACTGGCAAGTCTCTTAGTTTGAAAAAAGTCTGCCTTTCCTGCCTCATTAGCAAGAAAAGCTCATGATTTTCCAAGATACTGAGAACAAAGGGAATTCTGGCTAACTCTTAAAGTGGGCTTTATTAAAAAAAAAAAAGTGGGCTTTATTTTTTAAATCATGAGTTTCGGAGGGCAAAATGGAGTTAAAAAAAATTAATGCTCCACTAACATATTCTATAAACAGGCATTTCAGAATCTCTCAGGCCCCTGAGTTATTCCCATCCACACTCCTCATGAGACGCAGATCCATTCTCCTCGGACACCTGCCAGGGCCTCCAAAACATTTCTCTCTAAAGTTAGCCCAATTCCCTGTGTGACAAAATTCTTTTGGGAGTGAGCCCTTATGTGTCCTGAAACCCACAAGGGTCCTGCCTGCAGAATCGAGGCAGTGATTTCCTCCCTGGTGTGAACATGGGGGCTGGGAAAAGTGATCTGCCCTGGGAGGAGCGAGCCCTGGGCTCAGGAGCACTGGCACTGGGAGAAGGGAGGTACATCTGCACATGGGTCACAGCCATCTTGGGAGTGGGAGGGGACCCCAGCTGAGGGCAGGCCTGGTTGCCTGGGAGGGCGTTAAGGGAAGTGGGAGCATGCCCACTCCCCACTGGCCCCTTGACCGTGCTCCCACATACAGGTGGTCCTGGCGCTTGAAGGCCTTGCTGCAGATTTTGCAAACGTGCTTCCTTTCCTGGCTGTGCGTCAGGTAGTGCTTGCTAAGGGAGCTGGCGCTGCTGAACACCTTCCCACAGAGGCTGCAGTCCAGAAGCGGGTTCTGGGGGGAAGTGTGCTGCCGCTTGCCTTTCCTGGTACTCCCACAGGTAGCCCTGCCTCCTTCATCAGCCTCCTTAGTCATCTTGAGCACGCCAAGGCCCAGGTCTAAACAGAAGGAGAAAGCACAGGTTACAGACATGTGGGGATGACAAAGGGCATGGCTAAGGCACTCGGCAAGTCTTGGGGCCATGACCCACTGGGGTCAGGACAGCGTCTTCCAGCTTCAGCCACCTTGAGCACAGAGAAAAGGATGTGAAAGAGAAGGGATCCCAGCCAGGCCATGCAGAGGGACAGCAGCTGTCACTCCTAGGACATGGAGGTGAGGAGGTGACTGACCAACATGGGCCAGGCCACCCATGGTGCTCTCAGAAGGTCAACCTAGAAAAATACAATCTAAAGCCTTAGGAAAGTATAAATCCTTTCTTCCAGCCAATTCCACCTCTGGGATCTTAAAGTAAAAATATACAGATTTATACAAAGAAGTAACTAGCAAAGTAGTTAACAGCAGCACTGCCTGGATTTCCTTTAGACACAACCTAACATTTGATAAAAGGGCACACAGGTGACTGCTTGATGGTCTGAGTGGTCTAGAACAGCATTTAAGATAAAACTATAGGGGATCCCTGGGTGGCTCAGCGGTTTGGCACCTGCCTTTGGCCCAGGGCATGATCCTGGAGTCCCGGGATCGAGTCCCACGTCAGGCTTCCTGCATGGAGCCTGCTTCTCCCTCTGCCTGTGTCTCTGCCTCTCTCTCTCTATGTCTATCATGAATGAATAAATAAAATCTTAAAAAAAAGATAAAACTATGGAAAAACATCCAACACAAATGGATGTTCACGCCGCGCTACTCACTGAGAAAACAGCAACCTGCTACAAAACACAAAAAGACAAATAAATCTGAATAGAAAACAAGCTGAGAGAATGGCATATACTGGTAGGATTGTGGGCCTCTTCTTTTACTCTTCTTGTGTATTTGAATGCATTTGCATTTCCATGTTTTCTGTGTCCCTCTGGGTAAAATGATAAAAGGTATGTTCAAAATCATTCACCTGAGGAATGGGGGGAAGTGGGGTTTGTCAAGTATCTCCAGGGCCAGTGAGTAGGGAGGGAACAGACTGCTTCTGCTTTGTTCCAAGGGACAGAGATAGGTTTGCTTTCCTCCAGACTAAAGAGAAGCTGATTTCAAATCACTGGAAATGCAGGGGCCATGGATGCGAGGACTCTGCAGGCTCCTGCTATCCCCAGCATTTCCCTCCTCGCACTCATGGACACTCCACAATCATCTATTGGACAGACCAACAGTGGAAGATACTCCTTCTCTTTAGAGGAGTATCTGAATGGATTCAGACTGCCTCATGAGATGGCAAGTTCAGAAACCTCCACTTCTCTGGGGTGCTGCCAGGGGCAGGACCCAAAAATCCAAGGGCCCAGGGCTCAGTTGGTTAAGCATCTGCCTTTAGCTCATGTCATGGTCCTGGGGTCCTGAGATGGAGTCCCACATAGGGCTCCCTGTTCAGCAGGGAGTCTGCTTCTCCCTCTCCCTCTGCTTGAGCTACAACAAATAAATAAAATTTAAAAATAAATAAACCAGAAAACCAAATGTTGTAAAAATTTGACAAGGACACTGAAAATCAGGCAGAGGCTCTGGCCTGAGAAGCTGCATGATGCTCACAGAAGGCAGTGTTACAAATATGTTATAAAACGGTGTATTGGGATGCCTGGGTGGCTCAGTGGTTGCATGTCTGCCTTAGGCTCAGGGCATGATCCCGGAGGGCTGGGATTGAGTCCCACATCGGGCTCCCTGCATGAAGCCTGCTTCTCCCTCTGTCTGTGTCTTTGCCCCTCTCTGTCTCTCGTGAATAAATAAATAAAATCTAAACAAAACAAAAAAACGGTGTATGTTCTCTGACAGGCAAACCTCCTTGAAGGAATATGTTCAAAGAACGTGGCCAAAAAAGGAAATTCGACGCGTAAAAAAGTTGTTCACAGAAACGCAGTCTAAGAAGCAAGAATCAAAGAGCACGATGGAGTAATTTATAATGATGAGGGAAGAAAGCAAATAAGCAAATACGCTACTTTTAAAAAACCTCAAATTGCATCACACATTCACTGCCCCTGAGCAAAACCATGTTTTTCTTAGTGCCTTCAGTCATGTTTTTCAAAATCTACATGTGGGAGCCAGGCTGGGGAGCTTTCCTGATGTTACTTTTCTCTATTTCCTAAGTTTTCATTAGTAACTGTGTACTATTTTCCTAATTGGGAAAATGAACACAAGTGTTACACTGGCCTGAAGTTAAGCTGGAGAAGTATAAGGAGTTAGAATTTAATGTACAGTGGACTCCTCTTTTTATGAGATATAAAAAAAATTCAAGTTTAAAATACATTAGGAAAGGGGATCCCTGGGTGGCTCAGCAGTTTGGCGCCTGCCTTTGGCCCAGGGCGCGATCCTGGAGTCCCAGGATTGAGTCCCACGTCAGGCTCCCGGCATGGAGCCTGCTTCTCCCTCCTCCTGTGTCTCTGCCTCTCTCTCTCTCTCTCTCTCTCTCTCTGTATGACTATCATAAATAAAAATAAAATAAAATAAAATAAAATAAAATAAAATAAAATAAAATAAAATAAAATAAAATAAATTAGGAAAAATGAACTAGGTTAATGATTTGTGGGACACCTGGACGGCTCAGTGGTTGAGCATCTGCCTTTGGCTCAGGGCATGATCCCGGGGTCCTGGGACAGAGTCCTGTAGCAGGCTCCCCAAAGGAAGCCTGTTTTTCGCTCTGCCTATGTCTCTGCCTCTCTCTGTCTCTTATGAATCAGTAAATAAAATAAATTAAAAAAAAAGTCGGTTAATGATTTGTAATGCATTTTGCAGGCAGGGACACAGAACCCCCATGAAAACCTAATGAAAGCCATGGTTTCTCTGTTCAGCAAAATGCACCCATATTCACACTACCAGCATTTTTCAGGTAGCTCCTGTGGCCAGGGCTGAGCACCTAATCCCATATCCCCTGGGGTTGGCCCAGTGCCTAAACACTGCACATGTCCCATGATTCTAGGATTTTGTGTCAGCTATCACTCCAACATGGTGATAAGGCTGACCCTTAGTCTACTGCGTCTTGTATGGAGAGGAGGCTTCATGAGTTTTTCATTTTAGCAAGTCTTCAGGACATTTCCTGAGCTGCTTATCCTGACATTAACATCTGTTCTGCAGAGCCATCATGGACGTGGTCCTCCGTGCATGTGGTATGAATTAACTATCGAAAAGCTCTGGCTCAGTCAACCCATCTAAGCTACTTACCCAAGAACCCAGGAAAAGAGTTAGCAAAAACCTAATTTGGGGCACCTGGGTGCCTCAGTTGGTTGAGTGTCTGACTTCTGATTTTGGCTCAGGGCATGATCTCGGGGTTGTGAGATTGAACACGGAGTCAGGCTCAGTGGGGAGTCTCCTTGAGATTCTCTCTCTCTGCCCCTCCTCTTATGTGCTCTATTAAAAAATAAATCTTAAAAAAATTTTTTAGGTTGGATTTATCTTGTAAGGGAACCCTGAAAGCAAACCAAAAAACCAAATGAAAATTGCACCATGGCATTTAGCCATTCCATCAGCTCTCCTTTTGCTCCTCTGCTGTTGAAGAGAGAAACTTAGAACTAAATCAATGGACTGTCAGGGATGAACTCTATTGATATGGATGAAAATACCATCTGTCCCATGTTTTACAGTTCACACAGTGCTTTTACATACATTTCTTCTCTTGCTTTCACTATCACTCTGAGGAAGCAGAGTGGGCATTATCATCCCCCCCACTTCACAGATGAAGATACTGAGGCTAGGGAAGGTTAGACAGCCAAGTGGCAGACAGACAGGATCCCAGGGCATTCTGAAAATGTGAAAGGGGCCTCTGAGATGTAATTGGTAGGAAAGTCTCCTGTGAACTCAAAGGTCTGCCCACATCACACACAAGATTAGGACATTCAGAAACGGCCAAGTTTCTCAACATTATTTCTTAGGATCAATATTCAGTCCTTGACCAGAACACTGGAAACAATTCCCAAGTTAAAAAAGAAAGTGAGGGATCCCTGGGTGGCACAGCGGTTTAGCGCCTGCCTTTGGCCCAGGGCGCGATCTTGGAGACCCTAGATCGAATCCCATGTCGGGGTCCCAGTGCATGGAGCCTGCTTCTCCTTCTGCCTGTGTCTCTGCCTCTCTCTCTCTCTCTCTCTCTCTATGTGTGACTATCATAAATAAATAAAAATTAAAAAAAAAAGAAAGTGATTATCCCTGTTCCCTATTCACCTGTAGAAGGTAAATATTTTCTTATCCACTCCATGCAGAAGGAATCTCATAGTTGGCCACCGGGGTTTTCACACAGCCCTGTAGGCCCTCGGACCCAGGTGGACAGCCTCACCTTGTAAGGAAGCCTGAGATTCCGGATCTGCATACTCCTCCAGCAGCTTCATGGAGTCACTGTCCTTCCCGGAGTACAGGGACAGGGTATCTAAGTTGTCCTCCAGTGCCTCACTGGGCATGTCAGGCGTGGGGAGGCTGGAGTCCAGGTCCAAACCACTCAGGCCAGCATAGAGCAGGTCACGTGTGCTGGGACCCAGATCCCGGTTGAGGGTGTCGCTGCAATTGAGTCCCTGGCTCTCGGAAAACGAAGGGAGATGCATCTCTGGAGGAAGGGCACCCTCGTCCCCAAGGCTGTACTGGTCCATGGCTCTCCACTGCCAGGTCTTGGCTAAGACCTACTCTCCAAACAAGCAAGACCGTGTAAGGAGTCAGGGAGGAAAAGCTCTTGTTGATGTCTAATTCCTAAAAATGAATGAGGAGGAATTAAAATTATGAGATAGCAATACAGCATGGTGGATAGAGCGCAGACTTGGAATTCAAACAGACCTGTGTTTGGGTCTGTTCTCTGCCACTTAACAGCCATGTGAATGTGGGCAAGTCACTTAAGCTCCACGAGCCCCAGTTTCCTCATCTGTAAACTGGGCATAGAGTACCTCCATCATAAGGTTGTTGTAAGTAATAAATGAAAGGATTTCCGGCAACATGGACAGAACTGACCTCTTTCTCCAGCTATAAACACAGAGAAATATGACAGAAGATAATTTTTAATATATAGCCAAGCTCAAGAGACAGGTAAAAACCCCATGTGCCAGCAGCAATGAGAAAACTTAAAGAAGGGGCACCTGGGTGGCTCAGTTGGTTAAGTGTCTGCCTTTGGTTCAGGTCGTGATCCTAGGGTCCTGGGACTGAGCCCCACAATGGGCCCCCTGTTCAGTGAGGAGTCTGCTTCTTCCTCTCTCTCTACTCTCCCCCTGCCAGCTCATGCACTCTCTCTCAAATAAATAAAGTCTTCAAAAAAAAAAAAAAAGGAAAGAAAAGAAAAGAAAAAAAAAAAGGAAAAACTGCACACAAGCCTAAAGAGGTACTCCAAGAATTAGGAAGGAAATAGGGTGATGAGAGACAATAAAACCTAGCATGAGAAAAAGAGTAAGTCAGTATGGGACAAGAACAAATATTTTTTTAAAGAAACTAGTGAAACTTGCATGAAGACATTTAAATTCAAAGCTCACTGGAAGGGTTAAGCAACAGAAAAACAGTGCTGAAGAGAGAAATAATAAACTGGCAGAGCAATCTGAGGAAATTCCCCTAGAATTCAGCACAGAGAGATAAATGGAAAATACGAATGAGAAGCTGAGACAGTACAAATGGAGAAGCAAATGCAAAAAATTAACAACGTCCAAAAGACATCCCAGAAAGAGGAGAGAATACAGAAGACACTACGTCTTTTTTTTTTTTTTTAAGATTTTATATTTCAGTAATCTCTACACCCAGCACAGGGCTTGAACTCAGCCCCAAGATAAAAAATCACAGGCCCCCTCAACCAAGCCAGCCAAATGATTGGGAAAACATGGCATCTTACAGAGATATTGGAGGAATTTCCAGAATTGCAGGGATACAGGGTCCCAGACTTAAAGCTCCTAATTCTTAAAGATACATGGTTAATGACTAACCACTGCAAGGCAGAGCAGGGTGAAAAAATGAATTCACTCAACACACAACAGTAGAACCACTCATCACTAAAGACAGAGAGAAAACCCTAAAAACTACCAGAAAGAAGAGGCAGACAGCCTACCAAGAGACGATGACTAGCCTGATGGCAAATATCTTGGAAGAACGGAGGCTAGGAGACACGGAATAACACCTCCAGCAAATAATGGAAGGGGGAGAACCAGCACAGAACTCCACACGCAGGGATCCCTGGGTGGCGCAGCGGTTTGGCCCCTGCCTTTGGCCCAGGGCGCGATCCCGGAGACCCGGGATCGAATCCCACGTTGGGCTCCCGGCGCATGGAGCCTGCTTCTCCCTCTGCCTGTGTCTCCGCCTCTCTCTCTCTCTCTCTCTCTCTCTCTGTGACTATCATAAAAATTTTAAAAAAAAGAAAAAAAAAAAGAACTCCACACGCAGGAAAACTAGTATTCAAGAGGGCACAACAAAGACCCTTTCAGACAAGGCATACGAAATTGCTCATACAGGAGCCCTGGGTGGCTCAGTGGTTGAGCATCAGCTTTGGCTCAGGGGGTGGTCCTGGTCTGGGGATTGACTCCAACATCGGGCTCCCTGTGGGGAGCCTACTTCTCCCTCTATGTCTCTGCCTCTCTCTGTGTGTCTCAGGAATAATCTTTTTTTTTTTAAAGAAGTTGCTCATAGACCTCAGTTCAAAGACTAATATGGGGGATCCCTGAGTGGCTCAGCAGTTTAGTGCCTGCCTTCAGCCCAGGGTGTGATTCTGGAGACCCAGGATCAAGTCCCACATCAGGCTCCCCATATGGAGTCTGCTTCTCCCTCTGCCTATGCCTCTGCCTCTCTCTGTGTCTGTCATGAATAAATAAATAAAATCTTTTAAAAAAAGACTAATATGGGTTTTGAATCATTTGGAAATGAAACGACAATGATTAACTCTGTACTTTATGTATGCTAAAAGAATCTAAGTGTAACTACCTAAAGAAAAGGAATAAACTACATAACATCTGAACTAGTAGAATTTATCCCACTCCCCAAAAAGAGAAAAAAGACTCAAATTACCAAAATTCAAAATTAAAGTGGGAACAAAAATAGAGATTATAAGGGTTACTACAAACAACTGCATGCCAAAAAAGTAGGTAACTTCAAGATAAATGGGCCAATTCCTAAAAAGACACAAGTTACCAAACTGACTCAAGAGGAAACAGATTCTCTGCATAGCCCTATGAGAAGGAAAAAGATTGAGCTAATAATTTAAAAACTTCACACCCATGCCACTGCAGAAACAATGAAAAAATCAACTTTATTGGAACTCTGGAAAACAGTCAAAGGTTTGCAGCAAACAAATGGACCCTCAGCAAGACAAAGGTGAATGAAACCTGGACGCTGTGGCATTTTAACCTACTTCTGTCTCATCACCCACACTACCCCCACCCTAGCAGTGGTTCTGAAGACAGAAACCACATTCTGGTGGAATCTTCTGGTATAGAAGGGAACAGAGATAATCTTGTTCTCACATTGCTGAGCTTGTCTGTCTTGACCTGTCAGATGGCTCCTGAAGGGAGGACACAAAGGTCTTACCTGGATTTTGCCTAACCTGGAACTTCCTCAGGGCACAGCCACAGGGATGACATTTGTTGAAAATGTCAAAGGCAGTATTGTACACCCAAAATTAATATAAATGCATGTTAATTATACTTCAACTTAATATACTCAAAATAAACAAATAAAAAAAACAATGAAGCAGGTGCTGCAGCCCAGGGCAAAGGATATCGATGAGGCCAAGAACAAATACGCCACTGAAAGCCAGGGAGGAAGAGCTGGACAATGGGAGGCTTTGAAGAGGAAGGGCTTCAAAAAGCTTCCACGCCAGCAGTTTCTTACAAAGCTAAACATGGTCTTGCCATACAGTCCAGCCATCACAGTCCTTGGTATCAATCCCAGTGAACTGAAAACATATGTCAACACAAAACCTGCACACAGAAGTTTATAGGAGCTCTCTCCATAGCTGCATACATCTAGAAGCAACCAAGATGTCCTTTAATAGGAGAATGGATAACCAAACTATGGCACATACATACAATAGGATGTTATTCAGTAATAAAAAACAAGGAGCTATCAAGCTACAAAAAGACATGGAAGAACCTTAAATGTGTGTTGCTAAGTGAAAAAAAGCTGGTCTGAAAAGACTACACATTCTATGATTCCAACCATATGGCATTCTGGAAAAGGCAAAACTACAGAGACACTAAAAGACTGGTGGTTGCCAGGGTTCAAGGGGAAGGAGGAGGGGTGAATAAGTAAAGCACAGGAAGGACTTTGAGGGGAGTGAGGCCATTCTGTGTGATTCACGTAACAGTAGTTACGTGGCATTATACATTAGCCAAAACCCACAAATTACACAACACAAAGAGTGAATCCTAATGTAACCATGGACTCTAATTAACTAAAAATAAAATAAATTAAATTACATAAGTAAAAACCATCCACATTATTTTAGGGAATCGAGAAGGCCATGTGCCCAGGGCAGGCACATGCTCAGAAAACACTCACGAAGGCTCTAAGCTCTCACTTCTGGGTGACCTTGTCTGTGAAAGCAGGAAGTAAAGGTGAAGGCAGAGATGTAACTCCCACTGAGTGCAGAAGTTGTGCCTCAACACTCACACGGAACCCAAGTGCAAAGACTGGGAGATACGTTTGGGCTCCAGGCATTTAAGGAAATCTTTGCCAAATCTTAGCTGACCACAAACTAACAGAACACAGACTTCGCTGACCACACATGACAAAGAATATAGTCTACAAAAAGAGTCTACAAAACATTCCAACCCGTAAGCAGTAGCAGTAACAAATGCTAGGGTAGGGGGAAGGAAAATCTGATTCCAAGAGTCACCATGTTATAATATTCAAAATGTTCACTTTCTCAACAAAAAAATTACAAGGCAGAGAAACAAAGTGTGACTCAATGAGAGGGCCAACCATTTCATACAAATGATGGAATCAAACAATATTAGCTTTTTACATCTGGCTGCTTTCACGAAGAATAGCATTTTCAAGGTTATTCCACACTGCAGTGTGCAGAATTACTTCATTACTTTTCAAGGACAGATAATATTCCACAGTCTGCATACAGCACATTTTCTTCATTCATTCATTGATAGACATTTGGGCTGTTTCCATTTTGAGCTACTATGAATAATTCTGTCCTCACCTAAACTTTGAGTAAATGTTGATGACCTGCTGATAAAAAAAATCTGGTGGATCCTAGAATAACTGGAGTTTAGGTCTAGATTCCTAGACTATTGGTTTCTACTGTTCTAAAACATTCTTTCTGTGTTGAAATGTAATAGAACAGCTGTGCCCACAACACCTGCACTTCACATCATGCATCTATACCTGTGTGTCTATGTGTGGAGCCTATCGGGGGAACTCAAAAGGTGAATACAGGCCCACAACAGTACAACTCTAGATCTAAAATATGGGGTAAATCGATCCAAATACTATATTTTAAGTAAACTTCAGTGGCTCTGGGGCAGCACCTGGTAACCAAATCATTAATTCTGCATCCACACCTACGATGACTTGAGTAAATGTAATAAACACTGTAAAGAGTAACAGATGAGTTCAGGTTTGCCCACCAAATGAGACCTAGGACACTGTGGCATTGTCAGAGCTTTTTGGGTTTCTA